CTCACTTATAAAATTGGTGAATAAACTATAATTGACATTTCACATAGTCTACATATATTCAAAGAGAGTATTGGCACAAATCCTGATACCATGACAGGTATCTATCTATTCATGCATATATAAAAAGCAAGATTATATATTAAAAACTTACATTTAGGAAGGATTTATTTTTTTGACCAGGTGGGCAAAAAGAGAGAAAAAGAATATTAATTTACTATACCATTCTTGATACTTAATGAAATTTCTGACACAAAAGAAGCAGAATGAAGACTGAACAATTCTCTCTCCAGGTTAAACATGGGTTGATTTTTTTCATAATCGCTATTAACATATCATTTTCCTATAATACTTAAGAGTTCTTTAATATAAAGCTTCATTCTTCACTTTAGATCACATCTAAAGTGATCACTTTGTCTCTGAACTTTCAATCAAATTATAGGCAATTTTTTTTATCAAAAAGTTTCCCTTCGAATTTTTCATCACTTTCTCCTTTCTTTTGTGGAAACTAGAGGTGTGGTGTGAAAATTACCTTCATTATTATGTATGATCCATTTCAGAGATATTTCCTTACCTAAACAGAGAAGCAGAATGACCACAGGTGGGCAAAAAAGTAGTGGGACGAGGAGCAACTTTCAACTTCCTACTGGCTTCCCCATTGACCTGGGAAGTTGGCAGCGAGCATTGGAAATGATGATTATGTGACCACAGCAGCAGTGCAGAGGTGCAACAGTGCTGAAGCAACTACAATTTTAAGTCAGCTGCTTTAAGTCAGTTCATATGAGGTTCATTGTAAAGAATTACTGGTCTATGATGCACTGTTAAGGCTAATTGTAGGTTGCAACCTACAAACAAGAAGGCTTTAGAAGTATGTAGATTAATAACTCTCCATTTTTTAAAAATATTCAATGAAATTCAGCTCAACAATTTCAATAAAGGAGGTAGGTAACCAAAGCACTGTTATTAACAATTGTAGTTAGTTTTATAGTGTTAATATGGATTTTATGTTGTTTTAACTTCTGTTTGGGACCTGCCCAGAGTTGGACATAAGATGGGCACCTACATAAAAGTTTTAAATAAATGATTAACAAACCAAGGCATATATAAGATAGACTTTTCTTTCCTGATGAAATTGTTTTAAATTAAACCACTGAACCTTTTTCAGTGTTGTTCTTGAAAAGTGAAAAATGATATTACAAGAAAATGACTTCTATAGAAGGCAGAATCTATCTAGTAGATGTTTAACAATAAATTTAATGGACTGCAGAGCTCGAGTACAGAATACAAAAGAAGCTGTCACTTCAGTTTTTAATTCTGGGCCAAACACTTGTATTTCTGATTACAGACGGTGTTGCAGTTGGGTTTCACTAAACTTCTCCTTGCTCCTTGATCTATTTATTTCCTTTTTAAACCTCAACGGAATACGCATTTTTCTAAAATCAATGTGCACTGTATTTCTGAGTAATATATTCTAGTAGAGCTTCCTAGACAGAAAAAAAAAAAACAGTCTGTATCATCCAAATCACAGCCTTTCATTTCTTCCACCGATGAAATTTATACAATGATCCTTTGAATTTTTTTTACCATTGTCACGCATAGATATGTAGGTAGACTTAAACAGACAATGATAGCGATTTCTTTATGTCTTCCTACTGCAATTAAGCACAAGAATGATTATATCCAATGTTCTGTAAGTAGACTTATGTTCTCACAATACTTTCCTTCTACTCATAAAAATCATTATGTCCCCTGAAACCTGCTCCAAAGAATCACCACCAAAATGGATTTAAATCTTTTTGTGTGGAGTAGGTGAAGATAGTTCATTCTGCTAATAGACGCCATTCCGCCATGGATGGGCACTATGGAAGGTAAGTCAATTATACTAAGACAATTGCTATAGTATCTTTGCAAAATCAATCAGTTAATCAGATCTCACCAGATATATATAACCAAGCTGAATAAGGACCAAAATAGCCAAATAGTCACCCAGCTGGTCTTTCATATCTAAGGCAGAACTAGAACTCCTGAGCTCCTGGTCTCTATCCTGGTGCCTTTACTACTAGACCAAATTCTCCATATATTAGCTATATAATAGAATCTACTTCTGTCTAGTAAGAGCAAACAAAATAGTATATCTTATTGACATAATTTATATTAAATATGTTATATTTAGGATCCAGAGGAAGATTTTTTAAAAAAATCTCAGTGTAGTGAGTGAAGTGTGCTAGTTTGCTGTGTGTCACTAAAATGCATTTATACAGGGCTTTTTTTTTGTCATAGAGCGCCCAGAACGGAGTTCCGGCACCTTTTTTGGATGGAACCTTGTAGGTAGGCAGGCAGGTTGTATGACATGTGTGAGTTCCGGCACTTTTTTTTTTTTTTTAGAAAAAAAGCACTGCATTTATATATACATTTAACAATTAAAAAAAATAACATGGATAGTTCAACTATCTCTAATTTCTGGGTTGGGTCAGTAGTCAGAATTGCATCTATAATCACAATGGGGAGATGATCTATTATGTTCAGCACAATACAAAGGGTTTGGAGCTCTAACTGACAGTCAAATAGCATAATTTATAGAAGATTTTTCATTGTACACGTATAGATATCTCTATAATACTTTTTTTATTAAACTTACAGAGAATCCTAGAACTAAGATAAGGATATTATTGTTCTATGTTATGACAGCAACATCTCACAATGTAGACTTTTTTTCCCTGTGGGAAGTGATGAATTTAGGCTGGTAAATTTAAATATTTGACTAAGTATCTACTTTAACTCCTTCAGAGAAAAGTTTATAGACAGGCCACGCACAGCTTCCAATTACTTAGTTACCAGTTCCTGGTAATTTGACAATCATCTTTCAAACTGTGTTATGACACTGAAGTACATTTTGCATGAGTGTGTAGAATAACTAATGTGTGATAGATTTTTAAATCTTTGATTCTGTTTCCAGCTGAGTCTCTATTATAGCCTTGTAAAATATTGGACAAGTCTTTCTCATCCAAGGCAGAATTGTCTCCTTAATCCCTGACAGATTTATTTCTAGGAAAGAGGAATCCATTAAAATCAGCTGCAGAAAGGCCAATTTTGATGCGAGGCACCACCCTACCAACATACCTTTCTTCCATTCTTCTCATTAGCGATTGATTAACTCTAGTTTATTTGTTATTCATAATATAGAATTTTATTATTTTAAAGCAAATTTTCCAAAAGCCAAAATGTCCCATTGCAAGAGGGATCAAACTTAATGGCTTTATGAAAGCTTGGCTACTCGAGGCATCAGGATGTATTCTTTGACATCAGAACTAAAACAAGATGTTCAGTAAAGACTTCTACGAATGGATATGTAGCCCAATCATGCATTTTTTTTAAAAAAAATTTTTGATATTGATTTAATCCAAATCAATATCAAACATGGAATGCTATGAACTTTTCCTCAACTCTGCAATCATTTTATACATGTTTACAATCTTATTCCAGTTTGCTTCACTTTACAGGCCCGTGAAGGTCATAAATGTGCGGATAGGTCATAAAGCCACTTTTCTGTTACTCTTCTAAAGGCAAATTGTTGCTACGTGAGTCAGTACTTAAATGAGGAGTGCCTGTACTACCAGAATAAATTCAATGGGCCTTGTTTTGGTGCTTTGTAACACAGAATAGAAACAAAAGCAGAGTGTAAGGTAGAAGCAAAAGCAGCACCATGGTTCATAACATAACACTTTAAGTATGTTAGAAAACTATTTGCATCTAGGTCAGGAACTTTTTACTAGCAGCAAATATGGCATTTTTTTAAAGCAAAAAATCTAAAGTTTTAGAGGTAATTTTGCAAAATTTGTCTAATTTACACACTGCACAAACATTACAGGAAATATACAGAGCACCAGAAAGGAAGAGGAAGAGAAACTAGCATGTTTTTATTCCATAAATTAGGCTTTGAAGACGTCGGAGTAAACTGAGTTTTTATTTGGTAAAAATATGTTGCATTTAAATAGATTAGAATGAACCCAATGATAAAATGGCCCCATAGCTACTTGCCTGATTCTTATGTTTGCTTAGGGGGCTTGGGAGACAGACTGCTAGGTGAAATATAGGAAAAGTATGAAAGAGATGAAAGCTTGTTGCATAAATGGAAATTTGTGAGACAGGCAGACATACATAAGATCTTCCCTTCCACCTTTATTTTTGTTATTGCTTGGGGTTTTTTTTTCACTTTACCGAGAATTAGGTCTGATGCATAAAAAAATGGTTTGGGTACATTCAGTGTGCCACGCAGAACTTTCCATTAAGCCAAATACCATTTTTTCCAACAAAAATACCATTTTTTCCCTACATTTTTTCCCTATATAACTCCTGAAAGCTAATGTTTAAATTAGCAAAATGAAAAGCTCAAATAATTGTCCATCAAACAAGAGCTGTAATGGAGGAAATTACCAGCTGGAAAAAAAGCATAGGAGAAATAGACTAATCCCCTTCTTCTAAGACGACAGATCTACCACAAGGCCAAAATGATGAAAAATGAGTTTGGGTGGAACTTCATTAAGTCACATGGTTTATGCTGTGATACACATTTCATCGTTTGCCCTCTTGCTCCCCTTACGGATGTTCATGTACAGTAACATGCCCTGGATTTCTCTATGGAGATGCTCAATTATCCAGGTCACGGTTATCCCAAAGGTGCTTTTTTTTCAAAAGGCAACTGGATTTTCCTGGGTTTTTTCCCGTTAAAAACATTTTGCTTCTCATCCAAGAAGCTTCTTCACGTCTAACTGATTGGTGGGAAAATTCTAGGCTTTGAAGAAGACTTGGAGTAAAGAAATGGTGACCACATTTTTCCTTGGTAATAATAAGTTGTATTTAAACATACCCTGTATTTAAAGTTTCTTTATCTATGGCTGCTATTTGAAAAGAAGTGTTAAGAAATTTCTGTCTAATTGTCCTCGTTTATTATGATTTAGTGGGTTACATAAAAAGAAAATACATAGTTCAATTTATTAGTTTACCTATTAAATGGCTTTGATTTCTTGAATCTGGGAGGTTATCTTCTGCATCTTCTTGAAAGTTTTCTCTTACTACCTTGACCTGCGTGGCATTAAAAAAAGAGAACAATAAAAATCTCTTTCAAGTATCTCTTTGGAAGAGCACAAGATAAAAGCCAAATGATTTCAGAACACACACACAGACATTATTTTTATTCTTTTGTTATCACCTTAGTGATAATATAACTTCCAAATCATACTCGGTAAGAATTTAAAGTCACTTCATCCTGTGATTAATGACTTCTAAATTGGTTCTAAATGCTTGAATAAAAGCAACATCATGCAGCTATCAAAAACAAATTTTGAAGACAAATAATCCTTAAACGAAAAATATCTTCTATGATTCACTTTTACAAAAGCAAAGAAATAGACTTAAATCTCATGAAGGCATGTATTATTCTCTTTGGAAATATCACGTGTCATGATATTCATTTACACTAATAACACGAGATGTCCATGAAAAGTACTGTAGGAAGTTCCTTTATTCAGTGCTAATATTACTTAGGCTTTATGCCAATAACTGCTGACAAACCTTTATCGAGTGCAATACATTATCAGAGGGGGAACTAAATATAAGCAGTGGTTTATGAAGTCTCCATGTCCCACTCTCCTTTATGCACGTTAAATTCCATTTTAGATTAATCAATTTGGGGGAAAGTCCCAGAACTACTGAGATATAATGTCTAATTTAGTTCCAGGTAATTTGTAGAAGAACGATACTGAAACAGAACAAATAATTTCTGCTGTAGTTGTGCCTCACTATCATCAGTCATATAGCACTAGAATATTTACACGCCCACCTTATATGCCACTTAGTTAAATAGTGCCTTAAGTGTATATGAAAAACAACATTCCCCACAAATAAATACTACAGTCTAATTCACCCACAGCTCATAAGCATCAGTGGGCTGGATCAACTCTGCGTTAGCCTGGAACAATTTCATTACTTCGGACCCCTTCACATATACTACATACATAGGGTTCCTACCAATTGTGAGATAGGGTAGTAGAATATCTATAACAGAAGAGAATAGTAGAATATCTGTAGTAACTACACATATTCCCTAGACTAGAGGTCCCCAACCTTTTGGGCACCAGGGACCGGTTCTGTGGAGAGAGGTTTTTTCATGGACTGGAGGGTGTGTGGTTTTGTGTGCTGCCTGCATCTCATGGATAGGGCTTTGCTTGTTTGTGCGGACCAGTTGCTGGCATGCCATGGCCTGGTACTGGTCCACAGACCGGAGGTTGGGAACCCCTACTCTAGGCAATTGGACTTCATTGTTGTTAAAGGAATATGTAACTGCATACATACACAGATTATTAGAGCACACAATTGCACTTAACACCATTCTGTCTTGAACAGTCTATATGCATCCATTTAATGCGATCCTAAACCTTTAATCAACCCCCTGTAAAAGAATTGACGCTACAACATATCAAGAAATACAAAGTTTGAAAATCCACTGTTAGATACATCACTTAAGTAGTCTTTTCTTTTTTTATTCCAAATAGTTTAACGTGCCAATGCTAGTTATTTTATTGACTTATTTTTATATTTTAAAAAAGGATTTTAAAATTGCACAAAGCAATAGCACATGTAATCCAGTCTTTGAACAGTATGTTCTAATAACATTTTGATTTTTAACTTAGCAAGTACTGTCTGGAGAAAGAATAAACAAAGCCTTTTCAGCCTATTTTGTTGTTATAAGGAATAAAAAATTATATTATATTATATTGTATTATATTATATTATACTATATATACTATACTATATTATAATATTACTATACTATATAATATTAATTACATTATATTACACACACACACACACACATCTCTATTCTTGTCCAATAAAATGAAGTGTATTTCTTAAAGATATAGCTAAAGACCGAAATGGCTAAGATTGCTACAATTGCAAAGACCCTATTAAAGGAAACAAAAATGCTTTTACATTATTGAGCCCTTAAACAATAAGAAGAAAGATTTAAAACAAACTGTAATATTGGCTTGGTTTTTTTCCCCCACATCATCCCCCCCCCTTTCTTTCTGTACAGTGAAGATATACCCTAAGCTGTCAGCACCATGTTAAATGGGTGGCTGTGATAAGGGACTCTGCTTTGTTATCAAAGTTCTAGATCAGCTGGATTGAATTTCTTGCATATGGCACATTTCCAGGCTTCCATTCTTTCTGTTCCTTTCAGTGACATTGCAAGGGCAGACTTAGATATGCTTATAATTTGTGGTTTTATAATGCAGGGAACATCTACATTTTCAAAGAAAAGATGATACTATAGAAGCAAAGGAAAAAAACCAGAGCTCATGGCAGAGCAAAGGAAAAAAACTAGTTTTGTAACATGTACACATACATATACACACAAGTCTTGGAAAGGTTCTTAATGGATGACCTTGCACATCTTTCAGGAAAGGCTTTATTTCACGAAAGTAGATAAAATATGCATACGTTATTCGGAAGTTGATCGTTTTGCTCTTAAGCTTCATAAAGACGATTTGATTTTCAATTCCCATCAGGTGGAACTTCTACATTATGTTTTACCTCTGCACTATGTATCTGAGAAATGGGTTCATATTTCAAACTTTATCAGAACTAGGATTGTTGGTTTGTTTTGTTTTATAAAGCCCACAGGAAGAATAGTCTTTATAAAACAGAATAAGGGAAAACAAGCTGACATGTAGGACAAAGATCTTTCATTTATGCTTGATGAAAGAGTCTACTGAGAGCAGATGGTATCCCCAAGAAGGTTTATTTCCTATACTTCATTCATGAGATAGTCCTTAGAAAGCAATCTGTCTCATAGCTAGCCAAGCTAAATTATTCTGAACTTTTTAAAAAAAGATGTGCAAGTGGTTATATAAACAGAATGGTGGAGTATATAGATCTGACAAAGTTAATCCTCAACTTACAACCGTTCGTTTGGTGACTGTTCCAAGTTACAACAGCACTGAAAAAAAGTGACTGATGACCTTTTTTCACTCTTACGACCGTTGCAGCATCCCCAGGTCATCTGATCAAAATTCAGACGCTTGGCAACTGGTTCATATTTATGACGGTCGCAGTATCCCAAGGTCATGTGACTATCCTTTGCCACCTTCTGACAAGCAAAGTCAATGGGAAGCCAGATTCACTTAACAACCGTGTTCCTAATTTAACAACTGTGGTGATTCGCTTAACAACTGTGGCAAAAAAGGTCGTAAAATGGAGGGCAAAACTCACTTAACAAATGTCTTGCTTAGCAACATAAATTTTGGGCTCAGTTGTGGTCATAAGTGGAGGGCTACCTGTAATAAAAAAACAAATATTTTCTGGAAAGGGGCCTCACATATGTTTATAAAGAATATGAACTCTGAGGGGTCGGGGGGGGGAGGCACATACATTGTCCTATATACCAGCCTCCATACTGAGGGTGTCATGATCCCATTCAAAAACATACACGCTGATCCAAATCCCAGTACATCTATTTCTGCTCTTAAAGGTTCAAGCACTTGGGTTCCTAAAACAGCTACAACTTGCAACAGTGAAACAATTAGGAAGCCATTTCTCCTTTCAGAAATTCCGATGACCGTCGCATATCCTTCCCAAAAGAAAAACCTAAACGTATGTTGTTTTTAATTTACCAAGTTAACTCCAAATGTGCAGCCAGCAAAACCAGGGTAGGAGGGTAGACTTAGAACAAGTATTTAAAACAATAAACATTGCAGTAGATAGATACTAGATACCTAATCACTCTCTCTTGCAATGTATTCCTTGTGGTATCTGCTCCCTATGAATAACAAAATGGACTTTGATTTTAGCTAAAAAATGACAGGGAACTGGATGGCGCTGCTGACATTATTTTTTATCTCAATCTGTTTCAATTACTCCTAAGAGATAAAAAGAAGGATTCCATGTAATTTTCAGGGTCTTGCTTCAAAGCACAGGTAGCCTGTGTAAATTTTAAAGCAGGCTGAGCCAGTGTGCACTGTTTGTTAGTCACTGAAATAGCATAATCGGATTCCCTAATCTGATCACTGGATGTTGACATTAATCCATCACTCCCCAGTTCTGAACTGTGTCCTTTCATCCTATGTGGGCATGTATCTTGTACTAATACAATAACAGTTGGGAAGAAAGGAAATTCTTAAGGGAGTCTCCTCTTATTGCTTACCAAGGTCTTGTTTGGTATTTCTATATCAACCTTTGTTTTGCTGTTTTTCTTCTGGTTTCTTTGAGTATTGATGGAGTTGCTGGGAAGAGGAGAACCCTGGGATAGGCTCTTCGACACGCTCCTGTAGGAAACATTTTTTGATCCACTTTCTGTCTGCTGGGCTGCCTTCTTATCAACTCTGCAGATAGAAAGTGATTCCTCTGATAAATGACGTTGCCTTTCTTCAATCATTTTACCTTCCCTTCTGCTTCTTTATGTTTAGTGAAATCACCCTGTATCTTTCTCCCCCCCCCACCTCTGAGTGATAAATGTTGCTAACTACCCTTGATCAAATCTGTCACTTGCAATTTCACGGACAACATTATTGTCGTCATTCAGGTATATCATTATTTGTTTTAAATTTTCTAGGACTGTGAGCCAACTTGGAAATCATTGTACAATTATTTCTGGGTGTCTTTGTGACCTAAAATCCGGAAAGCGGTGAAAGTAATTACTTTTTGTGGGTTATCTTCTTTGTATACTAACAATCTGCAGCCAGTTACAAGGGAGCATTAAACAGAACACAAAGGCAGATGCTGCATTTTTAAAAGAAATCTCTCCCTGATGGATGTATTAAATAAAAATGTGACGCTTAAAAACTGTATTGGTTTTAATAAGGCTGACTATTCTTTAATTTCAAAGACCACTGACCTGGCTAACAAAAAGCAGATAGAAATGATCAGAGCAGCCATGTGGAGCTGTTTTTATGGGGATATGTCACTCTATTTGGCAGATGGTGTTGGTGTTTTGCATGTGTGAATGCACATCTGCATTATAAACAGATGTCTCCCTAAAAAGGGGGGGGGAACCGAAGCAAGAGCTGGTTACAAATCCTCTCCCAGACATGGCAGATTTTTTATAGGAGATTCCTACTTTCCATTTGAAAGATGGAACAATGCTGTGATCCCTTGTCAGCCATCTGAAATACTGCAGCTCAGCACAGGCTACCCTCTCTGAGATTGCACTGTTTGATCATGTTCAAAGCTAACAAGCAAAATTATCAGAAAGTGGCTGTTTCTTCCCGACCCCCAGTTATTTAAGAATACGCAATTTCCTACAGTCTTAGCAGAGATCAATCAAACACAAAAAAGCAAATTACAACTGCCAAGCAACAATTAAAAGTTGAAGAACAATCAACACAGCAGATAAAATCAAGTCCCTCCCCCCCCCAAAAAAAGGACGTGAGGCAAACCAGGTGAACTATTGTTCTGCTGAGATTTTTTTTAAAAAATGCCAACAAGCTCCAGGCCATATTAAAAAAAAAAATAATCCCTACCACCAAAGAGGAAACAAAGGAAGATTTCTATAGAATGAAATAGCCTTGGGCTTCATCACAAAGGCTTTAAAGCATTTGTAATTTATCACCAACTTCTAAAGAAACAGCACATGAACTGAACTAAGTGCTAGTTTAATGTCCAAATATGGCTGAGCTGCGATTAGGCTGGCTGATGATGTCCTAAATCTAAACCCTTTGAGCCAATGAAAAAAGGACACACTCTGTGTGTGTGTGTGTGTGTGTGTGTCTGTACATTTATTTATGTTTTGAATTTCCAATAGATCCAATCCAAATTAGGATTATTTTTTAGTTTTAGAATTACTAACAGATCCTGGCAAGTTACTTTACCAAGCTACTGTAACCTATCATCTCTTTATCCTGCCTCTTCTCTGCCCCCTTTTGTGGTTTTTTTGCCAGGTTCTCTCTCCTGCTTTCCAGAGATCCTTGCCAACAGATCTTTGAAACTGGCTGGTGGCAGAAGTTACTTTTGCCTATTTCCCTCACTCCAGCCAGCACACAAATCTTTCCTTTTCTCTTTCTGAAGCTATTTAGATAATGATTGCAAAGTTCTTTTTTTCTCACTTAACTCCACTACTCTGCATTGTTTAAGTGAGTGTCTTGCAGTTTCTAAAGTAGCTTGCAGAGTTTCATGTTAGAAATGGGAAGAATGCTGCGGAGAAAGGGGGGGGGGGATAAAAAAACCCCAAAAGACGATCACACTGTTGACCTGCATAGACTGTCATTATCTGTGATGTAAAAGGGAAGATTCTAAATCCACATATGCTAAAATTCTTACCTGTGTAAAAGCTCTTTCATAAAGTTGTCTTTTCCTGAGTAGGTAGCAGTAGGGCTGTTTTTCTGTTCGGATCTTGTTTGGTTTGGGTTTGGGTGAACAGCTTTTGTCAATTTTTTTCCTTTGGGAGCACCCTCTAAAAGGACAGAAGTTTTCCTGTTCAGCTCATTTTCCGCTTCGCAGTGCTGTTCGCTTTTCTTTTTGTCTTTCCTTTTTTCCGATTTTGCTTGCTTACTTCCAAAAGCTGAACCTTTGGCCTCTTTCTTTTCTACTTTGACTTTTGAGGTATCTATTTTTCGGCTGTTCAGGGCTGGGAGCTTACTTTTTCGGAAACCAAACCAGCTGGCAAGAGAAGGGCCCCCATTTTTTTGTTTCATCTCAGGCCCAGATGTGTTTTGCCCTTGTCCTTTCTGCATGTTCTCTTGTATGCACAACATCACTTTTTCTTCTATTGTAGGATGTGAGCTGGTTGAAACCGAAGCCTTTCCAGAGGTTTCGGGACCATTTAGACACATTTCTTGCAATGCTGTCTTGCTTCCTTCGGCTTTATGATGACGCTCAATCCTGTCCACATTTTTCTGAAAAGGGAAAATTTGGTCTGAGGAAACACTGGTTTGGTTGATTTCTGTCTGGGTAACACTTTTTTCCACTGCTGACTGACGCTTGGAAATGTCACTGCTTTTTTCATCTTGGCCAGATGTTTTTGGAACTTCGCTCTGGGATGCTGATTTGTGGATCCCCTTTTTCAAAACGCTGGTGCACAGATCTCCTTTTGGAGACGTTCGAAACGGCAGCTTGCTTGGGTTGCTCATCTGACTATTGGAACCGGTCGCTTTTGCACACATGCCTTGCCGAGTGCAAGGAACTGCAGGAGCCACCTCTGCTGTCCCAGCCGATTCTGAAACAAACTTCATTTGTAATCCCTCCACTGCTGAGTTTTGCCTGGTCAGAGAATTCCCTCGTTCTGATGTATTTGTTATAATCTGCGTTCTCACTTTTCCCAACCGTTCTGGGGAAGGCGCGTGCAATATTTCTTCAGTATAAATACTGAAACTTTGACTACGGGCCTTGGCTCCGGTCATGCCAAGGGCTGGCTTCAGGTATGCTTTATTACTAGAAGAAAGGGATCTTTTAACAGATTTGTTTTCAAATCTGTCCGTCTCTATCAAATTGCAAGTTTCAGAGGAAATGGGGAAGGCTGGGTCCATTTTGAGCTTTTTTGAGAAACTTCCCTTTATTTGGGGCTCTGGACTCCATTCTTCCGGGTCTGCCGAGTCTATAGTGGTTTGAGGTGAAGAGTCACCTTGCCTCTGTTTATCTGAATTCACGCTGCATTTAGAGGCTGCATTCATACAGTCTTTTTCCTGCTTTCCTGGCACGGTGGAACTCTTCCTGACAAAGCGGGGAGAAGTTATGAATAATTTCAGTCCCACAGAGAGATGGGGCTTCAGGACCTTGTCAGACAAGCTTCCATCATCCCTTCCCTGAAATAGCAAAGGAACTGGAGAAGGGTTGATTTGAGGCAATACACTCTGTTCCCCAACTGTACTTATGTGATGCTCCAATGAAGTGCAGAAACTTTCGGGAAACTTTGGTTTCTGAGGTACACCAGTCTCCTGAGGCAGGGAGCTTATATCTTGCGGGGCGAAAGCTGTAGGGACAACTCTGGAATTGTATAGTTCTTGGTTGCTGTAGAACATGGGCAAGTTTGAACTTGGTGGACCAATTTTCTTGCTGAAAATCTTGGAAACGACTTGGCTTGTGGCCGGGGACTTTTCTGATATGCATTTGCCTTCCCCCTTGTCCTGAAAATGGTTTGATTCAACTGGAGGTGTTGTAGGCAGCTTAGCAGTTTTTGTTTCATAAACAGCAACGTTATGACAAACAGGCACTGACTTTCCTTTCTGTGGTGACAACTGGACATCTTTTCTTGTATCACTGAGAAAACCCGCTCCTGGTTGGTCAAGAACAGGGGGTGAATGTTCATAATGTGGTCTAATTAGCAGTGAAGCTGATCTGTCAGTAGGAAGGGGAGGGGATGGAGATCTGGCCTCCACTGGTGGCCCATCACAATGGACATCTCTGGTTGGTTTCTCTTCACTGTGGACAGGCTCTAGAAGATGCTGAGGCAGGGCAGTTGATTCTGAGAGCAAATTCTTAGTTTCTGGATGGGCTAACATCTTGCAGTTATTCAAGCCTACTTTTGAATTCTGATTTGGATTTGCCATCTTTTGGCGTCTCAACCATTTTGCAGGTGACAGTGGACCTTTATCCAAGGTCTTAAAGCAATGTGAAGAGACTAAAGGAAAGTTTTCAGCCATGACCACTTTTGCTGTCTGGGGTAAAAACCTGTCTCTGCTGGATACTTTTGTTAACTTGTGTTTTTGATTATTACCCTCTTGGATACAAGAAGGGGAGCTCAAATTAGAAGAAATACTGCATCCAGGCTTGGTTAGTTTTTGTTGAGATGTATTTTGACACAGTGGTTTTCTGAAATGTATAGGACAATCTCTGATGTGGGGAGTAGGGACACTTGCACAGTCATCCTTGAAATCACTTGGGGCAGTTTTTCTCTCTGCTTTATTAACAGGCATTTGCATAACATGGCAGCTTTTAGCATCTATTGCATTTTGCAAATTAGATACTCCCTGAGATAAACATGTAGTGTTTTCTGCATCGTCCGGCTGGTGAATTGAAATTTCATTTCTAGTTACAGTAACAATTCCAGCCTGATGTGAATTAAATTCAATAGGTTTGCCATCTTCGGCATCGAATATTACAGTAATACATTCTTCTGAAGAAGTCTTCTTTATAATTTTTTGTTGCTTAATAAAATTGCATGCCTTTGTCCTGATGTCTGAGGGAGGGGCTTGTTTTTCAGAAGATGCCAGCTGAGTGTTTCCTTTCTCCCCAAGCACACCACAGCTCTCTGTGTTCTTTTCTGCAGAGGGTGCTAATGACAAATACGGTGGGCTTTTCTCGTCGCTGCTTTCTATATGTAATTCATCAAGGATTTCATTGTCATCAGTATCTGAAAGGTGTAAATTAAGGTCTCTCCAGCTTACACTGGAATGACTTTTATCTATCTGCAGCACAGGCAGCTTCATATCCCTGCACGATTTTGAACCCAATTGAAATCCATTGACAAAACTAGTCAGTTTTTCGGGTTTTTCCTTTGAATTAAAGTAAGAACTTATTTCTGATAAATGCCTTCTATCAGGTTCCCAGCCAAATAAGCTGTCAGAAACACTGTGAGTTAATTTATTATAGTAGTGCCGACAGTCTTTCCTTGGTAGTTCATGCAGTAGTGCTAAAGATGAAGAGTCATCATCCACATCCTCGTGGGAATCAGAATCATACACAAAGATTTTTTGGTGATCTAGGCAAACCGCTTCTGTTTCAGGCCTGCTATTAGCCTGTTCTTTATGAGTGCCGTACTTAATTCCAGGAGAATAGATTCCTTCGTTAGAATCCATGCAATCTTTATAGCCCCACTTGGATACAACCGAAGGAGGTTCTAATGTTGTTTTTTGTTTTTGTAGCTTCTTCAGCCCATCCAAAATGTGATTTTCCTTGATACGAGTTGGAGGTAGGTCATCAGCAGGACTGGAATGGTTGCTGGGGAATGAAGAGCCTATACTTATCCTTTTATCCCAGCTTACTGACTAATTTGAAATGGGAAAAAGAAAATATATATGTTTAGTTGTTACTACAGAATTAGCAGTCATTAGGAATAAAAATGCAGACTTTGAACTTCATGCGTAGACAAAAGTAGGAGGGATTTCTCCCCTCCCCCTTTGCAAGTCCCCAGATATTATTATTATTATTATTATTATTATTATTATTATTATTATTATTATTATTAAGGCAGTGCCTGGAGACAGCAGAATAGATGAGAAAGAACTGGAGAAGATAATAAAATACAAAGACCTACAAATAGAAATAGAAAGACTGTGGCAAAGGCAAGCAAGGGTAGTACCAATAGTAATAGGCACCTTGGGTGCAATCCCAAAACAACTGGAGCACCACTTGAATACCATTGGCATTGACAAATTCGCCATTAGTCAATTGCAAAAGGCGGCCTTGCTAGGAACCGCTTCCATCCTGTGACGATATCTGTAATACCATCAAACATCCACATCTGCCTATCCCAGGTCCTTGGTAAGGACTCGATAGGTAGACAAAATGCCAAATCCAGTCTGAACATCTGGCTGACTGTACGATGATCAATAATAATAATAATAATAATAATAATAATAATAATAAGCAGCAGCCACCAAAGTAGCAAAGAATGGAAGCAAGTCCCAGATCAAACTATGAATGTTCATGAACTTCAGCTGGTGATGAGATAAATCTGACTTTGAATAAAAGTGAATGAATTGGAATGGGTGAAGAAGGGAAAGGGAAGGGAAAGGGATACTTCAGATTAGATGTTCCACTTCTGCTGGAAGCCACAATACTTCTGGATTTATATTTAGGACTCTGATCTCAATACTCCCCATTTCTTTCTCCTTCCCATCATGCCCTCATTATTTCAACTTCTAAGCTAAGCTTATGAAGCATCCCTTGCCAATAATCAAAAAAATAGTAGGCACTTCAATTTTCTACTAAATCAAAGGTGACCAATAGCTTACCTTTTTCTTGCATGCTTTCCCATCATTCCAAGATGAACTGCTGGAATATTCACTGCAGGCGCTAGACAAGGAGAGTTCACTGCTGCTGCAGCTGCTTCGAGGATAAACTTGGTGAGGTCCAAACCCATTTAGCTGATTCTGGCATTTCAAGGCAGGTATTCCAGATTTCATATTCTGCTGGCATTCCTAAGGCAACAAAGCAGATGACATTATTTGGTGGGCTGAAAAAAAAAGAGAGTGACAGCATCTCTCTGAATAAGATGACAAATCAACAACCTATTTGTATTCACACCAATACAGATCCAGTCTAACTACTGAAGAAATATTAAAACCACCATGCTCATATTTCATCCTTATTACAAGATTAACATTATTTGCTTGTTTTAAAAATTTATTTCCTTAAATTATGCACGCCCTATCCGAGCTAGTCTTTCAGTGACAGTCTGCTTGAAATATGCAATGTTTATTAGCAATGTGCTCTAGAAAGATACTGAAGCTTACTTTAAAGCAGTACAAGAACATCTTGACAACTGCATTATAGCCCCACAACGTAACAGATGAGCCCCTAGAAAACTGTGCAAGGTAAATTAATTTAGTGCCCCAACTGGAATGTCCACCGAGAATGAAATCTCTCTATTACAGTCTAATTTTGGTTTCCTATCTAGTTTAAAGCTTTGTCTAAGAAAGTCTCCAGCGTAGGACAATCCATCTTTGTGTCACTGTCCGACAGCTAAAACCTCCAGCTTATGCTATTTATTGACACTTTATGGCTGCATTTACTACTTGAGTAGATATCAGCCTTTTCCAAATGCAATCTCAGCCTCTGTGACTAAACACCAGTTTCAAGGACCAGAATAATGAAGAAAGAAGCAGCACAGAAGTTAGTAGATGTGTTTTAATTTTGCTCCAGATGAGTATTGTATTTCCTACAAAGGTCAGAGTGTCCTGCATGCTCAGAAATCTTGCACAAAATGTGTTATAAAGTCTCTTTATGAAATGTATTAGAAACAATTGTGTACTTTGTTTATTTACAATATTTGTACATTACCTCCACAGAAATGACAATGAATATCAAATGAATAACATATTTGCGTTTCCTTGGCATTTTGTACCAAGTCTCATGAATCTCAAAAACATTTTCCCCGCATTCATGAGCATTGCAAGGCTATGCGGTTACATTGCTTTACATCACTTAAGAATAGATAAAAACAATCTACTCTGATATCCATGCAAAGTTTATGTGCAAGCAGTTCATTATACAAGATGAAATGTCTTCTAACTTGGGTTTCAATCTAATAATTGTTGATCAACTACTGTGGCTACTTGCCTATTTGCCAGAGGTCCCCCTGGTTCTAAGCCTCAATATCAATGCATACTGCTAATTATATTCCACACTCTTAAAAGTAGAGAAGAAAATATTCCAGCGTAAATTTGGATTTACTCATTGTGCAGATAATAATGAATCTTACACTTCTTTGCCCTCTAAGCTCAGAGAAGTTGGTTTTGAGACACTATAGGATGCCTATGTCCAACTCTGGCCTGCAGTATTTGTTATGGACAAAAATGATATATTTCAGAATGTTATTGTCTCTGGTGATCATAATTGAACTATTTTATTGTGATGTGTAAAATGGGCCAGAAAAAAATAAAAAATAAACATAATGAATCTCTCTCTGTCAAAAAGGGACTTGTTAATACTGTTCTGACATAATCTAGGTAGGGAAGGCCACAAAATATTAGTGAACTGATGAAATGTGAACCTAATTTTCATTGAAACATTTAACTTCTTTCTGAGTGGTAGCCCTTCTAGATTAGTGAAATCATCACAAGACTGAATTTGCTTTATAAAAAACCTGAGATTTCTATTTTTTTTTTTAATATGGATGGATTTATTTCTTGCTTTGGAAGAGCATCTAATTTTCTTCCATCTAAGCTACATCAACAATCTGATGTCAGGGTATCCTGATGCTTCAGTGACAAGTTGGCAGGAACTATATTGATGATACACCAGAACATCTCAGAAGCATGGTGGCTCAAGTGGTTGGAACGCCGGTAGGAGGTTAGCAATCCCATGTTTGAGACTCGAGAGCTGCCATGGGGTGGGGTTGAGTTCCGTCCTTTGTGAACGTTTCAGAGACTGAGTGCCCCAAACCACCCCTGCCTCCCCGTCCACCCGTCCGCCCCTGCCCGCTCCCTACAAGGCCACCCACCGCCTCCATGGCCCACCACAGTAGATCACCCAGGCGGCCCAGCAGCGCCGTGGTAGCCACACCCTCCGCCCGTGCCCCGCAGCATCATCTGCATATGACGGGGTGTGAGGGCGGAGTCTTGTCCCCACTGCCCGGCTGCCATGTCCTTGGCTACGCTGGACCGCGCTCAGAGTCACTCAGGGGTGACTCTCCTCCAGGGGGGCTGCTGGTGAGAAGGGGGCCGCAGGGGAAGGCAGGGCTGGGGCAATTGTGCGTGCCCACAGAGAGGGCTCTGAGTGCCACCTCCAGCATGCCATAGGTTCACCACCACTGTTCTAGTTCCTATCAAGGGCATCCCCAGGGCAACAATGTCATTGACTAATCCTTTCAACCCAGAAGTACAGAAGTGCTTCTAACAAGTTGAAAAACCAGAACATCCATCCATCCATCCTGAATACTAACAGGTAGGATCTAAATTGAATATTTTTTGTAACGATCCTTTTTAATATTATATCATATAATGTGTTCTTTAATACTAATAGCTCTCAAGGCTTCCTCTGACCTTATACTATGGTGAGAATAGGCAAATGTATGAAGAATGCTTATTTACAGAAAGCTTTGCTGCAGAATTGTTTCCTGTTATGACTACTCTATTTTTAATATTTTTATTTTAATAATTTTTTTAAACTAATACAAATTAATATTAGTAAGAAAAAGACAGAAATCAAAGAGGAAGTTAAAAGCATGGGGAAAAAAAGTAAAAGAAAAACAGAAGAGAATATCAAGCATACAAATAAGTAGCTTCTGATTTTCTTTACAACAGTTGTAAGTACAATTATAAATTTACTGTACTACATATTTTGTGATTAACTCTCTTTCCATAACTTAAACTGTATAATCATCAAAACCATCAAGCATAAGTACATTTTTTTTTATTCATTCAAAAAGTCCATAAGGGACTTCCAGTCAGCAATGAACATAGATATTGTCGAAGAAGTCATTTTAGCAAAATCTATTATTTTGACTAGTTACATCATCTTTATAAACCACCCCTCCATTGTGGGTAGTGCTGAAATTTGTCATCTCAGTGTGTACAATAATCTCACTTGCAGTTATCATACACAAAACACGACTTTTTTTCCAACTGTTTGTCCATCTATCCCAAAAGAAAAAAAATCTGGTCTCAATTGTATATTAATCTTTAACATTTTCTGAATTAGTGTGTGAATTTGAATTCAAATTTTCTAGTTTTCTTTTAGATGTCCACCAGACATGATAAAATATCTACTCTTGTTCACATTTCCAACATAAATTTGAAATCCCTTTACACATTCTACACAATTTAACTGCTGATATACCAGCAGTGTATCATTTTATTAAAAAAATTAACATTGTAACAGTGTAAATTTCCATTCTTTCAATATCATTTCTCATTATTCTATCTGTATGTTATAACTAATGTTTTTAGCCGCCTTTATTGTACATTTTTCCATTTGTTCTTCTGCTTAAAATTTTAGTAAGTATATACATTTTAGCAATTATATGTTCTTCACATTTCAAACTTAGACTTACAATGTTCAAAATATTTTGTCTACTTTAGATCCTTTTAATAACTATAAGCAACAAAACCACTGACAACTGTGTCCCTGTGCCACTAGTTCATCTCTTAATTTTATTTTATATATCTCTTGATAACATTTTAGTATTTCGTGATACATAGCCATTTGTGTTTGCCTATTATTTTTCATCTATAGAATACTTCTTGTTCAGAGAGCCACAAAGGGGTTTTGAGGCATAAACTGGATTTTATCGATGTCATATTCTCAACATGGCATGTCTAATATAATAATTTTTAAAATTCCCATTAACATTGACTTTATTGTACCTGAAATACCATGCCACTACCCAAAGTGGAAAACAATTTCTCCTTGTAAGGTAGAATACATCATAGTTTTGAAAGGTTATAAAAGTTCATCCTCAGAACATTTATATTAAGAACCTACTAATCCATCTGGCCCAAGCACTTTTCCTGGTTTAATCTTTTTTACAACTTCAGAACCTTCCCTCATTGTTACAAGTCCATTCATAATCTGTCTCTCTTCCTCTGTAATTGTCAGTAAATTTTATTTCTTTAGATATTCATCTGTCTTCTCTACAGAGATGTCACTTCCTTTACACAAGTTGGAGTAATATTGATAAAATGCTTTTTTATCTAGCTAAGATGTCCATTAATACAGTAGCTCCCTCTTGTAATTTCAATATCACTTTCTTTTTTTTCTTTTTGTAATTTATATGCCAGGCACTTCTATGGTTTATTTGCAGACTCATTTTTTTTGTTTCATATAATCTGTTTTTTATTTCCATTTCTCTTACATAAATAACTGTCATATAAATAACTGTTATAAAAGCTTAATTTGTTGAGAAATCTCTCTCTCTACAAATTCCTTTCATTCTTTTTTCTCATCCAAAATAACTTGTTTTCTCTTGACTCTTTTTTTGAGTTTTATAAAATAATAAAATAAAGTAAAATAAAAACTTTAATTTAGTTTAGTTTGTTTTAAAACTTTAAAAAACTTTAGTTGCATACCATAATCATTCTTAAATCAATGCCTTTACTTAAGTTATTTTCCAAAAAATATTTTAACTTCTTTTTATACCTCTCCACTATTGCTTCTTTCTGTAGCAACATTTCATTTAGTCTCCATCTAAAAGAACTAGATTTATTTTTATAAGCCAAACTCACAGAATTATGATCTGATAAAGCAGTGGTGGCGAACCTATGGCACGGGTGCCAGAGGCGGCACTCGGAGCCTTCTCTGTGGGCACGCGCACCGTTGCCCAAGTCCTAGGCCTTCAACTGGGTTTTATAAAATCTTTTCACTTTAGGCCTCCGCTGCCATGTGCAAAAAAAAAAAAAAAAGGTTCAATCAATCAGTCAATTTCAACTTCTGGGGGAAAAAAAAGATCTTGCAAAGTTAGAATTGATTGATTGAACTT